GCATAATGGCAATGGCAGTTTGAGATTACAGTTTTGCTGCTTAACAATGAGGACCCATTCTGAGGATGGGTCTTTATGTGATTTTGTGGTTGTGCGAACATCATTGAGTGCACTTAGACAAACCTAGATGGTACAGCCTACTACACACTCAGGCTGTATAGTCTATTGCCCCCAGGTTACAAGCCTGTACAGCATGTCACTGTAAAAAACAACAGAAGATTAAATCAAGCACAAGAGAAAATGATACAATCAAGAGATGCGATAAACACGAGAGGTATGTGGCTGCTGCCGGCATAACACGACATACTGTTTTATAGCAAACTTTTTTTAAAATAAGTTAAAAGAGTATATTCTAAAGTAACAATAAAAAGTATAGTATAGTAAATGCATAAGCCAGTAACATAGCCATTTATTATCATTATCAAGTAGTATGTAGTGTGCATACTGTACATGTTATAATTTTATACGACTGGCAGTGCAGGAGGTTTGTTAACACCAGCATCACCATAAACATGAGGAATGTGTTGCACTATGATGTTCCGATGGCCACAGTGTCACAAGGCAATAGGAATTTTTCTGCTCCTTTATAATCTTATGAGAGCACCATTGCATATGCTGACCATTGTTGACCGAAATGTCCTATGCAGCTCCTGACTGTATTCTGGTCAGGTTTTTCTTGTGGGGTCCAGCTGGTTTTGACTTGCTCTGTGAGATGTGGAGATGCTCTTGTATGTATGAAGTAGAATCAAATGACATTCCCCAGCTTTTTGAAAACTTTTGTTATCAAGTCTGAGGTAACTGGATGATCATTTCTGGGTCATATTTTGACATTTCAGATAGTTTGACTTCCGTCCCAGCCTGAGCATATCTGGCATAGTTTCTATCACATTATTTTGTAATGTTCTTAGTCTCATTTGGTATTGTGCCTTACTCTTAGTTCTATACTCAATACCCTCAATAAAAGTTGAATTAAACACATAAGATAAATACCATTAGATGCAACAGAAAAAATGCAAATGATTGTGGCCATTTGGAAATGAGAAATCACCACATTGTTAGTGGCAGAACGCCATGCCCTTTGCCTTAAATCTTTTCCTGGGGAGAAAGAATTGCACCTATTGCAGAAGCTGATTTCTCAATACTTGTGTTCTTTCATCTGATTTCTTGAAACTGAACAAATTATTTTAAAAAATTTAATGTTTTAATACTGGATATAACTAAGATGTTACATCTAAGGTATGTGTTACTAATTTACATATTAAGGTAGATTAGAAGAATAATTTCAATAGCACAAGAATGAATCTTGATGTTTCTTTATAGTAAAGAGAATAATTTCCAAAGAAGAAATTCTACTTGTTGATTCTTTTCTTATGTAGGAGTACGGTGAATTTTATAGTATATATCTATTATCTATTCCATAATACATACTAGGGCATATATTATTATATAAGTATCTTACACATAAATATCCAGTAATCTAGTAATTCTGTTTCTACATAGTTTTGCCTCATATGCAGGGAAAACTTTATGATTTGGATTTACTTTGGTTTTGTTTTATATAACTTTAGGTATATTACAAGTTAATACAATTCCTACAGTTTGAATTACTTACTATTCATGTCAACATTTTGTTTGCCTTTTCTTTAGGAAGGTTTGTAATTCTGATTAGGAAATGATTATTATGATGAAGGTCAACATGACTGCAATCTCTGGTGAACAATTTATAGTATTATGTCTATTTTTGCTTAAAAAGATAGAAAACACTTCTGTAGATTGTAGTGGCTGGATTTTACTTCTCAGCCTGAGGTATCAAATGTTACATTTATTTTTGTAGTCTAAAAGAAGCAGCTCCTTCTTAGGTTTACTTGAGGACTCCTCTTTTATTTACCCTTTAAATACTGGTGTTCCTTTGGGTTCTCTTTTCTGATCCCTTTCTTCTCGCTTCCCTTGGGCCTTTCTTTTTAGATGAGTAACACTGACTGAGTTCCTATTGTGAATCAGGACAGGGCCATGCTGTACATTGAGCAGGTTGTGTACTGCACAATTCCAGGAGGTGACATTCACTGTTCACTGCCCCACCCCCAAGACTCAGATTGTGCCACTCAGGCCCTGTGCTAGCTCATTCACAACCTCTCATTTACCCTCACAACAGCCTATGAGATGAAGATCATCATGCCTATTTTATAGATGAGTATGTTAACACTTCTTTAAGCTTATATAACAACGAGTGGGTGATAGTGTTTGTATGGGCCTAAAGTCTCTGATTCTCTCAACAGCCTGCCACCTATTGTGGGTAATCTCAGCTCTTGGTCATCTGATCCATGGCCACAACCTCTGTGATGGTAATTCCTAAAAGACTTTCCACCCCGAATCTCTCTCTGTTGCCGGCCTGCTAGACAAGTCTTTCAGTATATCTGAGAGTCACCTCAGATTCTGCAGGATTAAAAGAATCATCATCATTTTCCTTACGCCTGTTCCTTCTTTATTCCCAGTTTCAGTCAGTGGCACCAACAGCCTGAGCTCTTCTCTCTCCCTTATCCCCCACATCCAATCAGGTATCAGGGCCTATCAATTCTGTTTCTGAAATCTCTCTCCATTTGTTCTCTTCTTTTTCCTGCCAGTTGTCACTACTGTTAGTTCAGACTCTCCTTCTTTTATTCTGAATGCACCCACTCTGTCTGAATTATGAAAAGTGTCACCTAAAGTCTCGCATCTCTAGGCCTTGCACTGACTGTTGCTCTGACTGGTTCACCTTTTTCCACCTTCCCCAACTGGCTACTTGAAGACTCAGCTTTAAGTTGCTTTCCCAGGGATGCCTTCCTTGACTCTTTTCATCAACATCTTTCCTTAAGTTAAATTATTTTTCTCTGTGCTCCCATGGCACATCATGGGTAAGTCTATCATGTCACTCATCATAGTACCCTAAGAATTGATTTGCTTGTCTGACTCCTTCCCTGGCCTGAGAACTTTTTGAGGGTAGAGATCATATCCAACTTATCTTTGTCTTCCTAACATCTAGCAGCTTTTCTGGGAGGAGATTAATACCTGATTGAGGGAATGAATGAATGCGAAAGTGGACTCATTAGGCAGATCTGAAAGAATTGTTCACACAGTACTATATTGTTCTACATGTTTATTTAGTCCTATTAAAATTTGACTGCAATTTTTATAAACTTGCATGGTTGAAAATAATGCCGATGTTTTTATTTTTATTTTTTATTTTATTTTATTTTATTTTATTTTTTTTAGCTGAGCCATCCTGCTACCTATTGGCAGCTTAACGGCTGCTCAGCTCAGGCTGGCATCGAACCGCTGTTGCTCAGAGCTCAAACTCTTGAGCGAGCTCTTAACCAACTGAGCCACTCGGCCGGCCCTCATTGCCGATGTTTTTAAATTATACAACATATATTTTTCTTTCCCCCACCATGTACAACAATAGGCAGCATGATTATTGCGTAACCCTTGTTTTCATTCATGTTGGTGGCAGCTTCTTCCCTTATCCTGTTGATAAGAGATTATAACTCAATTGCATGGTAATTTAAAAAGTGTACTCTGTGTTGAACTTTGGGTTAAGGTGCCAAACTTTTGTATCAACACTAATGAATAAACTAACCCCTTAGAAGGAGCTTTGTTTATCTTTCCTGATTCCTGTCCATCATCAGTGGTCACTATACAAAGAAAACACCTTGAGGTTAATTATCTCAGAATCTCAGCTACTGCTAAATTTGAAGTTAAACATCTGGGGTGGTTTTCATTCACATGTACCTTTTTCATCTAATACAGATTTAGGTCTTGTTCCAGCTCTGCCCTATCTGGCTCAAGCTGACTACTTAAATCTCCCTGGGCATCAGTTTCCTCGTCTTTAAAATTAAGCATTTGGACTAAACTAGCTAGGAGAACTTTCAAACTCAAATATCCTCTGATTCTGTTACTTTGGGTCCCCACTGTGAGTTCTCTTACTGTCTTATCTCTCTTATCCACCTTCCTTTCCTCCCCCACTGGGGGACTGGTTCTCCTGCCTGTCCTACCAACATACACATAGATACACTGTCTGCACTCTTCAGTACTTCGCTTTGACCTGAAGGTTTTCTTCAACATGGAGAGCTGAGGGGCAGTTTGCTTGTGTGCTGTTCCTTCATTGGCACACTCAGATGTCTTCCACAAAGGGTTTGTGAGTCCCTTCCTTTTAAGGAGCACATTCCTGATTGCAGTTGCAAAAGTAGAGTGAAGTTGCAGAGTGAGCACAGAAAGATTCTTGTATTAGAGTAAGGACACTTCTAAACTGCAACAGATTTGGAACTGTGATTGTGACCTCTGGGCGGGGGAGTGGGCAGTGAGTAGGTTGTAAATCTCACACAGATTAAGTATCCAAGGTTTTGGAGGGGGAAGGCACGTCACAGTCCCCCAAAGCTTCCAGATGACTGTTACATTTTCTTTAATTGGGAGTACATAACCTGTTAGGTTACTAAGTGTTCCCCACATAATTTGTTGACAGGGCACTTCAAGTAAATCATCATTTCATAAAGGTGTACCTGTATTTTTATGAGGTAAACTAATACTCTCCTGATTTCATTTGTCTGTGTTCTAATTTTATCACTAGACACAAAAGGATAAATCAGATACAAAGGGTTTTTGATGAGATGTGCAAGGGGGAGTGTTTTTATAAAGTAGTTTTTCTGGCAAGGTGGAAGGCACGTCTGGGCTCTTGGAAGAAGAAGAAACAAATTTAAAGAGCTGGGAAGGAGGGAGACAAAAGTGCCCTGGGAGAACACGTACAGGGAAGCAGCTAGCTCTGAAGGCCAAGAGGTGACATGTGCCTGTCTGGGCAGAATGAAGGACACCAGGGGCTGCTGCTGGACACCCTACCCTGGGTTTCTGCGGCAGCCGTCCCAGAAGGGCAAGAGAGAGGTCCTGTCAAGTGGAGCCAGCGCAGGGCAGAATTGCGCCGGAGCTCTGGCGGCCGGTTCAGACAGGGTTAAGCCCATCACCTGCAGTTAAAGTGCGACCCAGATGGGAAGTAGGAAGTGCCGCGCCTGAGCTTCCTGTATAAATAAACCCGCGGCTCCCGGCGCTGCTGCTGGCGAGCTGCCTCCTAAGCTCTGCAACGTTCCCGGGCGCCGCAGCAGCTTCCCAAGGCTGGAGGCGGTTGGTTGTAGGTCCTCCTCCTCCTCCTCTTTCGGCCCAATAGGTGTGGGAGCCGGAGTCCTGTTAAAATCCAGCAGAGTGCAAAGCTGTCAACCGCAGAGTACGGAGGAAGAGGGAGAGAATGAAACAGCTCCTCCTCCCCGGTGTGCGAGCGCGCGCGGGACGCTGTTGAGAAGCCCGGCGCCGGCGGCTCCAGGCGGCCGGTGGAACGGAGCTCTCCGGCCAGGTAGGTTTAGCGAGCCTTTTAAACGCTGCAGGCACTGCAAGGCGGGAATGGTGTTAGACTAAGAAAAGAGAAAAAAGGACAGGAAGCCGATACCATGGTTTTTAGCTTTATTTTCTACCTCTAGTGCTTCAACCATACAGAATTGAGTTCATTCTGAATGCCTTAAACACCTGTTAACTTTTAAAAATAGATGCCTTTGTAAAGGTAAAAAGAAACTATAATAGTTTCATTTCTATTAAAACACTCTACAGAATGCATTGTAAAATACAAGGTTGAATCAAACCTCCCAGTGTGTTAAGGAGAGACGGAAAGTTGGCATAATCTCGGATGTTTACCTTCTGTTTCTTGGAAATGCACAGCAATGTGTTGACATACATAGATATGAATAAGATGCTATATTATCCATGAGATCTCGGCCATACATTATTCTGATTATTTTGTCAGGTAATTGCTCATAACAGTGAAACTCCGATCTTATACTGCTACTGTCAAATTTAAGTTAAACTGAAACCGATTCCAGCTGTTTCAACAGAGAAAAGGTGTCATGAGCTTCCCGCTTCCCGGGTACCTTTTGTTTTTCTTATTCATTTCAGCGATTGTGCTGTAAGTCTACTCCTGACATACACTTCTCACCTTCAGATTTCTCAGAAATGAATTCTCCTTTCTGGGAAAGTGTTCTCTGTCTTCATGCTTCCACTACAGGCTCTCACTTTATTTCTTCCTGCCCCACATGCATGTTATCAAAACATTAGCTGGGGCTCCCAGTAGGAGTATCGGTGTTCTTCTAACTTGGCATTTCTGCATGTTTATTTGAACATTGCCAGGTATGAATTAAATAAAAATGTATCTAACATTTCTGAAACAGCAGATTGAAGTTGTCTAAGCAGAAGCAAAATAAATGAATTTTGAGATGACTCAGTTTTTAGGGTGTGGGTAAGAGGCAGAAGGAACCCAGCCAGTCTTCACAGAGGTGCCGGCTAATTAAAGTATCTGGTTGCTGCAGCTTTCACTGAGATGAGCCTCTTGGTTCCTGTTCCCCTTCACACCTAATTCCTCTGCTGGTTCCTCCTTCTTCTTACTCTGTCCTCCCTTCCCAGCCCTAGTCCTTTTCTTGGGTTCCTCAAGTATTTCTGAAACTACTTGGGGAGAAGCGAGGGGGAGAAAAAGAAAGATAGCTATAGCAGATCCACAAAGCCACTTGGAGAGAGTTGTATTAGGAAATCCAAGGCCCCATTTCCCCCCAACTCCTGCCTGACTCTTATACACCTGTGACTGGTATCATATTCTTTGTGGTGGGCATAAACTGAGAAAAATAGGAAAAAACCCCACAAACTTCTGTATCAGTAGTAGCTTCTGACTAATTGAAACTGTAAATATGTATAGAGAATATAAAAAAGATGTCAAGTCACAGAATCAGATTGCTTGGCTTTTTATTTAAAATAAACAGAAAAAAACCCCAAAACAAACCCAAAACCAAAAAAACCCCCAAACCAATCACCCTAGATAACTTGCTTCTACACTACTATGCTGGAAGTGAGCTTTGAGTGTGGTCAGACATTGTCCATTTACCCAGAGTTTTGTAAATATTTATAATCATCTATGCCAAATATCTTTGTACTGAGCCCCAAGAACATTCTCAGCATTCAAAAGCCCATTCTCATGAATGGTTTCAGTTCATTGGCAACTTAAAGGCATCCAGGCTACCAAACTCGGTCAGTTTAAGACATGTCTTTTCTTTCTTTCTTTTTTAAAAAAATAATAATTAGTTTTTGGGTCTCCCAGATTATAAACCAAGTTTTTGGAGCCAAATTCAATAGCAGAGAGAAAGAAAAAGCTTTTATCTATATAGTGAGACCATTTAGCTTCTTGGAAATGATCTTTCTTTTCACTAATAGGAATACATTTAAGCTGGGAAAGTATATTTAAATTTTCCTTTTTGAAAAGTAGTTTCAATATTTTAGACATATAGAAATGTTTATAAGGATGTCAGAATCATTTCTCTGTAGTATTTCTGCTCCTTCTGGCTTGTGTGTTGCCCTGGCCTTCACTAATGACATTACTTTGTTAAGTGAAGTTCTTAGTGTTTGAAATCGCCAGTGTGAAGTAAAGGTCAGGAATCATGCTGAACCCAGATGTTGATGGAGGAACAAAGTCCGAACAGTTTTGGGACTAAACTTACTTTATGCAACTGATTATTTTAGATATGGGAAAGGGGCCAAGTGTCCCACAAATCATGCTTTCCACTTTGAGCTCTGCGGAGTAGGTGTCTGCAGCAGCCTCTTCTGAGTGCTGAGATTTTTTTTTTCCAGGGATGCCTGACTTAATTTGCAGAAGTTCCTTAGTTACAGCAAATTATCAATATTTTCAGCATTTGAACTGGTGGAAGTGAATATACTAGATGAGAACCAGGCCTTTCATATTTCCCTTTTCCATGTATATTCAGAGAAGTTATCCACTGTAATTTTGAGTGACTTCTGTTTGTCAGATGTATACTTGGTGCTGAGGATATAAAGATGTATAAATGTGGACTCTGTCCCCTGAAGGAATTCACATAAGCTTGGAAGTGACTTTGAATTAAAGTGGTAGTTCTTAATTCATGTTGTTTTTCCTGAGCAAGAAAAATGCTTTGATGTTTGTTGTCTTGACCATGGTTTCTCTGGTGTCACCTGAGCATTCAGTAATTTGAAGAGCCACACAGCATCTAAATTAATTTATTTAATTATTTTAATTGTAATTTGTTTTTTACCTTTGGTGTATGCGGGAGGTCTTGTACTAATGTTTTGTTTTTATTAACTTTGGCATTTGCTATTTACTTGGTCAGTGAGTACTTCTAAACCCAATGCATACTGTAGTAGTTATTAAAAAATTGAAAACAATACATTAAAGAGAGTAAAAGTGACCAATGCTTTTGCAACATGGAATGAGAAACTTCTCATCTATGATCTGTCCCTTCCTTGAATTGAAACCACAACAACCTAAGTGAAATGCACTTCTCTTACTCATATTCCTCGTTGGCAATTCTTTTCATCATATGGCTTATTAAAGAACATACTTGCAAAGCCATGTTTCATTGGTTTTTAATTCTTCTGCAGTCATGAGTTTAAGTCCCAGAACTTTACTCAATTGGCTCTTTATCTTTCTTGGGAAGATAGAACAAAACATCTCATTTTTTTCTTTGCTGGACTTGTGGCTGAAGCCATAAATCCACAAATTGTCCTGTGTGTGATTACAGAAACTGTCTGTTGACAACTTCCTCAGCTAGCTTCCTCTTTAAAAGTGGGGACTGGGGTTAATCACCTCTACATCCCTAGCACCTAACACCTGTGGAATTCAGTTCTTTGTGGGTTGAGTTTGTTTCCTGCATTACTGGTTCCTTAAGACATTGATTTGGCAAAGATGTACAAAAATACACACCATGCACCTTAAGTGTGGGATGAAGGAGATTCCTCTCCCAAACTGGTTTTAAATTTGCTTCTAATGAAAATTTCTATATGCAACTTTTAACTTTTGCAGGAGAGGGTAATAGTCACACATGCTTTTATTCATTTGGAGAAAAAAATTTTGATTTAGATATTCTTGTAGTTTCCTGATAATGTCATGACCCAAGAAATGAGCCCTTCTCTTGCTCTATGGGCCTTTCTGAAATAACACTCTTCCTTGATCTGTTAATTACATCATTGTCTGACCTGCTTCTGAGTTCTGTTGTTATGCCAGGCAGGAGGAAGAAAATTATTCAGCAGGGCTGTATGAATAATCATGGGAGGCAAGTGAACCATTGATTAAAAAAGGGGTAGGCAGGGCCGGCCGAGTGGCGCATTGGTTAAGAGCTGGCTTGGGATGCCAGAGGGCCCCGGTTCGGATCCCACGTATGAGGGCCAGTCACACTGCCCTCTACAGCTAAGATGCTGAACAACAGCTCAACCTGGAGCTGGGCTGCCATGAGTCACTGGCGACGGCATAGGCTGCAGTGGATTGCCATGGGCTACCGTGTGTAG